AATGGTAGAGGTTCAATGGTTAACCCTGACCCCAAGTGCATGGGTTAAGCTATGGTGTAAGTTACTGAAATCTAGGTAAATACATTGTGGGAATGTACCACTCTAGCAGGTTTACCTCAAGGATAAATCAGGACATATGATCCTGTCCTAAGTCTGGCTGTTAATCTAGTGGTGTCACATAGATCCACATGCTTGGTACATGTGGTGAGGTTACATCCGGGTCTTAAGTCCCACACGGTGGAAATAAGTATATGATCAGAGGGTTTAAATGGGTACCCCATGTAGTGGGGTGCAGGTATGGCAGATAGTGTAGAACCCTTAGCATAGCACTACCACTTTGGCACCAAAAGTGCATGTGTGGCTATATGTACTCTCGTTGTATACTGAAATAATACTTAATGATAATAAATCGCCGTTGACAAAGAGGTCACCTTAACGTTTAAAAAAAAAAAAAAACGAATTAAAGACGGGATTTCATGCATCCAATCACAACTGTGGGGAGAAATTAGGGCTCCCCGTTCTAATAAATATGTTCGTGCAAATTTTATATACAATACATTAATCTCACATTAACACCTAATTTAGAGTTTAATTAATTTGGTTGAAAAAATTCTTTGATAATAGGGGGTTTCAGAATTAACTTTTTTTCAAAATAAGTGGGAGTTCAAAAGGTCCTATTTTCTTTTTTAGAATTCCGAATCAGAAAATTAAATAGGCATAGTCGGTGATAAATTTTAGCTTTTTTTTGATAAACATTCATCAGTAAACGATTATGTAAATAAGTGCATACTTTAAAAAAAATAGAATTTGTACGTTGCTTATTTTGAAATAAATGCGACATCTGAAATCGGATACCGAATCATTAATTCTGAAACCCCCTAATATATCAATATGAATTAGAAATTTTAAAAATTCAAAGGCTTTTCGATATTGAATTAATTGAAAACATTATATAAAAAATAAAGGCATTTACTGTAATTCTTAAAAACAGTGAAACATCATATAAATGCTATGATATAACTTAAAAATACTCTTTCGACACATAAGATGGTAAAAAAAGAGAAATAAATAAATACGATTAAATCGTTCTTTATATATTTCACTTTAATTCGTAAAGAGCAGAATATTTACACAATTTAACACACGAATTGTACGTAATGATTTAGTTTTACGTATTAAATTTAAACCAAATATATCACGATTTAGATCGACAGGTAATTTACATTACATTAGTGGCGTAACCTGTCACAGATTACGGACGTGCATTACCATTCATAATGATAATTAAATCGAACCATCGGAGTAGATTTCATTGTTCATTGTTCAAACTCATCATAACGATAATCAATAATGGCTTCAAATGTTGTAGTTTTACTTCCCAATGCTAAAAGACAAACTGTAAAGACGACGCCTACAATGCCGTTAAAACAGATCGTCAACGCTGTTTGTGAAAAACAGGGATATACGGACGTAGAGATTTATGGATTAAAGTAAGCTAATAGCCTGATCTGTTTTTTCATTATCTTCCGCTACCAGTTTTACACATATAAACACATGTGTATATACCTTTGTTTATTTATAACACTTAGGCTAAACAAAAAGACTCTCGATCTTGGACTTTCTATGAGATTTGCCAATCTTGCGCCAGGTGCAAAACTGGAGCTTATCAAAGTTTCTGCACCGAAAGGTAAGCATCAAACATCAAATAAACCAGATCTTTCAAGACTCACTTGTTTTAACTCATTTTTTTTATATATTAGCTCAGAAGGATGTTCAGATTGCCTTACAATTAGATGACGGTGGAAGAATGATTGAGAAATTTCCAATTACGACATCTATTTGGGATATAATACTTCATTTTGAGAAAACGTCTGCTAATGGGTAATTGTATACGCTCAGAAATATTATATTGATTTTGACATTAGAGGAGATTTTAAATTTTCATAAATATTCAGGTCTTTAAACCTTACGAGACGAACAGCACCTGCGCCCCCCAAAAAAGGATTCTCGCTGAAAAAATTTAGTAAATCGAGCGAAACACAATTTTATCAGCAACCCGTGTGTTTAATATTAAATCGAGAGGTAGTTACCGTTCATTTATTTCAATTAAATAAAATTTTATTTGTCATTAAATATAAAGTATCCCATTTACACTATAGTATGGGACCATATCGTTACTGAAATCTACAACTTTGCAATCTGCCGGAATCACATCAGGGAATGCTGTATTACGGCTTCTATTTAGACAAACTGAATTGACTTTAACTGATGTTGTAAATATTGAAGCATCTCCTCCAAAAGAATTGACTGATACTGTACTCACGCTTGATAACCAACAGAAGGAGCCAATTAATACTATGAATGTTTCTGATAAACAACAGAAGGTGCCAATTGATACTATGAATGTTTCTGATGAACAACAGAAAGAGCCAAATGATACTATGAATGTTCTTGATGTACAGCAGAAGGAGCCAATTGATACTATGAATGTTTCTGATGAACAACAAAAGGAGCCAATTGATACTATGAATGTTTCTGATGAACAACAAAAGGAGCCAATTGATTCTACGAATGATCTTGATGAACAACAAAAGAAGCCAATTGATATTATGAATGACCCTGATGAACAATCGAAGGAGCCAGTTGATACTACTATAAATGATCCTATTGAACAACCGAAGGAGCCAATTGATACTACTATGAATGATCCTGATGAACAACCGAAGAAGCCAATTGATGCTATGAATAGTCCTGATGAACAACCGAAGGAACCAATTGATATTACTATGAATGATCCTAATGAACAACCAAAAGAACAGATTGGTACTGTAGGACATTTTGATCGTGATATAAAAGTGTTTAACCCACCACCAGAAAATGCATTGATGTCAAATCAAAGTAAGGCTTAGTGTTGACGCCAATTATTATATCGTATAATGTGCTTTCGTAAGTATTAATTAATTTTTTTTCTTTTATTTAGTCGATCTTCCCGACTCTTTCTTTGAATTGACTGCGACTGAACTGAAATATTTACTGGCAAAACAAACCCTTAAGCATCAAAGGGATGAGAATGCAGGGTTCAAGACTAATGCCATGCGTGCTCAAGAAGAAAAAGAAAGGGAGCGCAAGTACCCAAAGGTTATTATTGTACTACTTAATTTCACAAATATGAGAACAAATACTTATAGTTAATATTATTGCAGACGTTAATCAGGGTCAAATTTCCTGATAGTTTCCAATTACAAATTGCCTTCTTATCTAAGGAACATGGTATTATTACACTGACATATTATAAAATATGTGGTTTCTTATGTATCAAGAATTAACATTTATTGAACTGAATTTATAGTCGCAGACTTATATAAATTTGTTAAGGATGCATTACGTACACCCAATCGCGAATTCGAATTATGTATCCTTTTGTTTCTAAAATTTCAAATGTTAAAGTAATCCATAATTCGCATAGCTATAATAAAACCTTAACAAATATTTGTATTATAGACGTTAGTCCACCGAAAAGGACACTTTCGGATAAGAACCTTACCTTATATCAAGCTGGATTAGCACCGGCTTCGGTAGTATATTGTATTTGGGCAGACAAGTCAGTTGGGAATGGTATGGTAAATTTCATCTTTTATTCAGTTGTTTTAATGAAAGTCTTTTAATATGTAAATGCGCCTATTTTTAGATGCTGTACCATATTTATCTGACGAGTATCTAAAGCTTAGAGAGGACATTCCGAATATCACACCAATGGAAATAACGGAGGATACCTCCGCTTCAGAGAGCTTATCGGTAAAGTCAAATGATGTAGTACATCAGCAGCGGAATGACTCATCCAAAAATCGAGAGAGGAAGGAAAAAGTTGAAAGTTCTGACAGTAAAAAATCAAAGTTTCCAAAATGGTTTAAAAAACAGTAATTGGTAATTGTTATTCTTCTTGATTATATATATTTTAATAGTGATCCTGGCCAATAATGCTTAGTTTTTAGCATTTAGCCGGTCGATCTTTTTTTCAAAATCGGCTGATCGATTCCCGTAATGGGGGTTTCAAAATTAACAAAAAATTGCGCAATTTATAAAAATAAATAGGATTATTCAAATAGCTATCGAATTATAACCGGAAAATAAAATTCTAAATTTAAATTATGAAATAATTTTGAAACCCCTGATAATAATTTACGTATAAATTATGGCAAAAAAGTATATTTATTGAGTCATACAGTCATATCTCTTAATATCAAATATACGTTATGTCATTAGAGATATAGTAAGTAATGTACTCAAAAGCATGGATTTAGATCGATTGAAAGTGGTGCAATATTTTATTTAAGGTTTTTGATTAGTTATAAAACATAAGCCGTAATACGTTTTTATTGGAACTTCTATTGGAAGTTTAATATTTCAATAAAAAGAATAATCTCATAAGCCTTTTTATACCTTTTTAAATCTGCCTAAGATTCCAAAGTAAGATCTTGATATTTTAATCTCACCCTCATTAATATACATCGCGTTAATAATTGCAGACTTTTAATGAATTAAAAAATAAGTTACATCTGTTTTAATTTACGGGCCAAATTACACTGTATTAGGTTGTTATTTTTATTTATGAAGTTCTAACAAGTTACTATTACATATTAATCAGAATTGGCATGGACCGGTCAATGGTCAAGTTTGACCAGTTGGTCAAAGGGTTTAGTATTGGTCAAATTGGTCAAAGGGTATTTAAATATATAGTATACATACGCATATATATATATTTTTATATATATTTACTTTGTATACTAAATTTATTTATTTAATAGACTAGGTCATTTGACCAGACCAATTTGACCAGACCAGTTTGACCAATGAATTTTTGGTCGACCAGTGGTTTGACCAACCTTGATACTAATATAGCTGATATAGAGCACTTCATATAAATTCAAGATATATATCGATATTATTCGACAAACTCTTATGATCATGAAAAACTTTCTTTCTGTTATTTTTTTCATGTGTTACGATGCAATTATGTTTTTCCAATATTCAAAAAAAAACAAACTCAGCGAGTGACTCCCTACCAATCATGATCATAAATTATCGGATAACAAATTTGGGAATAACGACAATTTGGCTCAACCAAATTGCCGTTATTCCCAAATTTTTGTATACTTATTGAAAATTTAAAGTGTTGTTTTTAAATAAAATTCCCATAATAAAAAAAAAATTAAAATCATAATATGATTATGCTCAATTACGCACCTTAGAGAAACATTAAATCCTGAATAGATAACAAGAATCGGCCAAGCTAGCTAAGCTGATAAATATTGAATGATTAGATTAAAAGTCTAGTCGGTAAATTTTAATCACTATTTTAGAGCTTTAAGATTCTTTATAATTCTTATTTAATTGAATTAAGTTCAGTAACTGTATTTAGTTTAATTATTAATAACACATATTAATTAGAATTCAATATGATTTAACATCTTAACTGAATTCAAAAAATTTCAAATGCAATATACAATGTGCATCCAGTAGTAAATGCACACTCAACCTCTGGCCCAAATATATGCAAGACCTCTATAAATGCACTTTTTCTTATTATTCTCTAAATGCACGTTGTAAAAGTTCAGTCCAGAGCTTGCATGTAAGGAGATTTCACTGTATTAAGAAATATATTTTTAATTCATCCAACAGTGCATCCAATAAGTACTTCCATTCCAATACAAGATATGCTGTATACTGAACCCACCTAGTATCGCCACCAAAATCATGTACGTAATCGCTTCTTAAATTTCAATCTGAGTATCAATATAAGAATGATGGATCATGAGATTTACGGAATCACAAGATTTTTGAAAAACAATCGAAGTTCATTTATTCAAATTACTCATTCAAGAATTTATTTACAAATACTAAATCGAGTTACATTCAAATTCGAATATTTTAAATATATTTGCAATCAAATTCAAATTTTGTTAATATATACATAAAGCTTTAAGTCTTATTCTATACT